AACACCAGGCACATCAGGCTTAAAGCCGCGCGCTCAACACGCAGTAGAAAACTGGGCCGACATTCTGTGTCCAGTTTTTCAGCCATTCCTTTCAACTGAAGCAGTTGCCCTTGTAAATTATTTGTCGCACACTTAAGATACTCACATGCTTTCTTGTTACCTGGTGATAGGCAAATTGCAAACGTTTTAACATAAACAACTGTATGCATAGCACGCCCTGGTTGAACTTGGTACGTGTATTTGTTGCAGGTTAAATACTGCGGTGGAAGCAGCTGTTAAATAATTGTCTATGGTGTTAATGAATGCACACCCGGAGAGGCTTGGGAGTGCAAGTGGGGGCTCTGCGCAGCAGGACATCCAACAGGGAATTTTGCAACTAACGATAGGCAGTCTACTCTCCCCATCAGCCCCAGATCTTGCTGTTGCTGCCCCCAGAATTCCTATAGACTGATCAGGAAGGTTGAATCCTTTGGGGGTAAGTCCTTTTATAAAGTACTTTGGCTGTCTTGCAGCTCACTACGATCCTCGACAGAGAAAAAGGATTCTTCTTACACTTGATAGAATAGCATCCTTGAGGGGGGGCAGGCGCAAGTTGCAAGCAACATACTCACAGGTGGGCAACCTTCTGTACAGTTCTGAGTGGCTGTTGTAACATTGGTTAGGACCTGTGTTGTTCGACTGCATGTTTCTGCATTTGCCTACACCGTAGGCTTACACCTACTGCAATCTGGAGACGTCATCATACCATTAATGTTGGTTTCTTAAAACGGTTAAGGGAACAGCCGAAATTTCCTCGAGCCTTCAGCACAACATGGCAGCAACGTCATTGAAAGGAAAACCCAATGGGGACGCACAGATGGATGAGGGGTGGAGGGTGGATAGCAGAGGGGGAAGGGGTTCCTGGATGCACGTGTGACTGCCTGCAGAGGAGATACATATATGTATATATATATGAGGAATATTGCGTTGAATGCCTAGGAGATCCACCAGGCCAGTGGGCTTGAGGCTTTCGTTTGTACGAAGCCATTCCCCAGGAAGGCCGACGGTTCATCTTCGATTCAGCAGCAACCACTATATGTGCGTGAGGGCACAGAGCATAGTAAATTGAGATAGGTTTTACATTCCTATGACAACTGTACTGTCATGCGTATAGACAAACTCATATCATTCTACACATGTGCTCTGCTGGGCATACGCTCCTTTCTTTCTCTCTCTCTCTGGCTACTTCGCTGCTGCCTGCGGCAACACTTTCATCTTCACCACAATTTGGAGGTTTTTACCTCCTTCTTCGGCTGTCTTGATCTCTTTGTCCTGCGCTAATTGATGGTGTTGGCCAGGGGCAATTCACTGCATGCTTTAAGTATGTAGGGATGCCGCATAAGAAAGAGGATTCAAACCCAGGGGCACAGAAAGAGCACCGTAGTGGCCTTAGGCAATGTCGAGCTGCAGCAGTGTACGTAATGCTGCTTGTAGCAGCAGTGCAAGAGACTGGCTTCAAGCGCATGACTGCAAACATCGTTTGGGGGAGAGGGAGAAGCAGATATGGATGGGTCTATCTGATGTTCGTATGTATACTGCGTGCTTGAGCAAAGGCGAAGTTAACATCAGTAATTGTTTAACGAGTTATTGCACTCATTAAAGGGGTGATGGTTATGCTTGCAAGTGAAGTTGTTTAGGAGAAGGGGTGTAGCAAGACTTGCTGCAGCTGTAGCATCTACCCGCCCCCAACGACAGTCTTCGATCTTAAGCGAAGACCGTCATGACCGGCAATATACCCAGGGGAGGTTTAAAACTGCACTTAGAAAGATAAAATTTAATGCTTTTTGTCTCAATCCGCTCACGCAACCCTGACAGAAAGGCTCCAGCTGATACGGAGAGGAAGTGCTCTATCGTGCATCTCCAGGTCTTCTGCAAGGCAATGCCGGGTGCAAGCATCCCTACAAAGCCCCTTCTTGTGCATGCAAAGAACTGCAGACAATTGTTAAACGCCTACAGGGACGTGAGGAACCACCGTGCATGCAGCCCTGAGTAGCCAGCATGCACCCAAGCAGATGACCTTATAACAAACACTACGTGAGACAGATCGTACTGAATCTTCTCCCCGCACAAGCAGCAGGCCTCTCTGTTGGTGTGCTGAGGACTCCTACAGACTGGCAAAGAGGTAGCAGCCATATATTTAGTGTTTGTTCGTAAGCTATTTTGACTTTGTTGCATATTGCGACTGTCTCCGTTTAAGGTTAGAGCTCTTAGCAACAGAGACAATAAAGAATAACGGCCTCTCCTCAACTGCCTGCTACTAAGTGCACCTTGTGGGAGTAAACTAATTGACTATCAGAATTATATTTCGGTAGAAGAAGATAAAACGAGCGGATCGATCAGAGGGAGAAGAGGGTGTGGGGCGAAGGGGTCGTGGCTCCGTGTCTTTAGATTATTTTAAGGTATATAAATACTCATTATTATATTGTGCAGGACGCTTTAATAATAATTTATGTTTAAATGGAGAGAAAAAGAAGAAAGTCGACAAAGAGATTCAGGGAGAAAAAGAGAAGAAACCCAGCGGAGTTCTCATGGCTGCAGCAGCAGCAGACAGCCCCGTATTAATATACTTTCAGCCCCACCCCTATGATGCTGACGAAGGCAAAATGAACGGAAAAGCGGCATGTTGTTTGTCTTTGTTGCGTTTAATTTTCTCTTCTGACTTCTTGGGGTCGTTTAAATGAAGCAGTTGGCGATCTAGTGGGGGTGAGGCAATATAGAGGGTTTTTCTTTAGCCCCGCAGCCCTTCGCGCTTCCGTCGGCCGCCCAGGTAGTAGTAAGAAAACCAATTAAATGCTCTTTATGTGTTGAATTGAAGTGTATTTTTGTATTTTTCTTTTTCTTCTCTTGAAGATCTCCATAAAAACCTCCCATATGCCTGCCTTCAGCTCATAGATTTGTATAGGCGCCGCTACGGCGCCACACCACCCCGCAGGGCTTAGAGACCGGAAAAGGGGTTTAATTCTTGTTTTGTTTTTGTGTATTTGTTTGTATTTTAAATGCTATGCCTGTGGAAGGTTAGAAGATGTTGAAGAATTTCTCTTTCCCCCTTCAGCCGTTGCCGAGCGATGTATACTATGAACAACAGCCAGCGCAAGAGAAATATGAATGCTTGCTGTGTATGAGTTATTGTTTGTTTGGTGTTTTTATTGTTTATTATTAATATATATTTTAAATAATGCTGTTTAGTAGTCATAAATATTCCTTTTTTTACCGGAGCTTTCCGAGGTAGCCGTAGGTCTTGAAGGCGTGATGTAAGCCCAGCTGGCTGTGCAACTTCAACATCGACAGCGATGTAGCTGTTTGCTGAGTTTATCATTGTATGTCTGTTGCAATCTTCAGGAGTAATTCTTTCGCTTCTGTGGAATACTAACTCCATTACCTTTATTCTTTTAATATTTTTCGATTTACCTCGAAAATGGCGCTCAACGCGATCGTCACAACGCCCGGGCGTTTCCTCTTTACCTCGGAAAGCGTAAATGAAGGCCACCCTGATAAACTCTGCGATCAGGTTTCTGATGCTATTCTTGATGCTTGCCTTGCAGAAGACCCAAATAGCAAGGTAAATAGTTCAATTTTATCTAAACATATCCATGAAACAGCAAGAAATCCCCATCTCATAATTCTGCACATGTTTCTAGTGGTTCGTGCTCGTCGTTCAAGATTCAGGCTTTAGGGTTTAGGGTTTAGGTTTTAGGGTTTAGGGTTGATTTAACTTTCATTTCCTTTACTGTTTGTATGATGTCTGCATTCAGGTCGCTTGCGAAACCTGCACAAAGACGGGCATGGTGATGATCTTCGGGGAGATAACGACAAACGCCAGCGTAGACTATGAAAAAATCATCAGAGAAACATGCAAGGTATGCTTTGCAGCTTGCATGCAAACCCTAAACCCTAAACCCTAACACGAGGACGCTGATACCTCTGCCCTTTGCGCGTCCTTCCCTTGTCTTAGCCCGGTCTATGCACTTTTGAGTCTCAGTGTTTATACATACATACATATATATATATATATGTATGTATGTATACATATATACATGTATATGTATGAATATGTATACAATATATATATGTGCATAATCTATGCAAAGTGAATAAAGGAAAATAACGATAATGATAATAAGCTACAACAACATATTCTGCTGCTTCTACGGCTGGTCTCACTGCTGTCTTTCTCACTACTCCTTTTGCTGCTGCTGCTGCTGCTGCTGCTGCTTTAGGACATCGGGTACGATGACGAGGCGAAGGGCTTAGACTACAAGACGATGAAAGTGGTGGTGGCAATCGAAGATCAAAGCCCAGAAATCGCACAGGCAGTCCACGTCAACAAAAATATTGAAGAGATCGGGGCAGGAGATCAGGTGCGTATATAATATATTCATACATATATTATATACTGCATATATAATTATATATATTATATAATGTATATAATATATGTAATATATATTATAAATGCCTACTATATATAAAATATATATTGTACTTATGCATACATTAGATGCCCTGTATATCGACACATGTATATATATGCATATTTATATATAGATATATATGTATGTCTATGGATATCTATTGATATATATATATATATATATATATATATTGAGTAGAGTGTTTGTTATGTGCATTGAAGGGGCACATGTTTGGATATGCATGCGACGAGACAGCGGAGTTGATGCCTTTGAGTCACTCTCTTGCTACCAACTTAGGAAAGCGATTAACAGATGTGCGGAAGTCAGGCGTTCTTCCTTATATACGCCCAGACGGAAAGACACAGGTTCGATTTCACATAGCTTTATTCAATAGATTCTAATACTCTTCTTCCTGCTCTTGCTGCTGCTGCTTGTCGTCCTGCTGCTGCTTGTCGGGCTGCTGCTGCTGCTGTTGTTGTTAGTGTTATTGCTGGCTGCTGCTGTTGTTGTTGGTGTTATTGCTGATGTTTCTGCTGCTGCTGCTGCTGGTGTTGCTGTTTCTATTGTTGTTGTTTACTTGCATACATACAAATAGAATTGTATGTATGCATGCACATATATGTATAAATATAAATATATATATATATATATATATATATAAATGTATGTATGTTCAGGTTACAGTTGAATATGACAACAGCACGGGCGTGCCTGTCCCTGTTCGCGTGCATACGATTGTAATATCGACGCAGCATTCTCCAGATGTAGATAATGAGCAGCTGCGTTTAGATATAATGAAATATGTTATAAAGCCAGTAGTGCCTGCATGCTATTTAGATGAAAATACAATATATCATTTAAACCCGTCAGGCAGATTTGTTATAGGGGGGCCTCACGGAGATGCAGGTCTAACAGGAAGAAAGATTATTATTGATACTTATGGAGGCTGGGGGGCGCATGGCGGAGGTGCGTTTAGCGGAAAAGATTCAACTAAAGTCGATCGAAGCGCTGCTTATGCTGCACGATGGGCTGCGAAATCTCTCGTTGCAAACGGATTCTGCAAGAGATGCCTCGTTCAGGTTTGTCGTTTCTTTCTTTTTCTTTTATTCTTATTCTCTTCAGATATTCAGATCTTTGTCTTTTATCTTTTATTCTTTTATTCTTATTCTCTTCAGATAGTCAGATCTTATTCTTTTATTCTTATTCTCTTCAGATATTCAGATCTTATTCTCTTATTCTCTTTTATTTTCTTATTTTCTTATTCTCTTCTCTCTTTAGATCTTTAAATCTTATTCTCTTCTCTTACTCTCTTCTGTCTTCTTTTCTATTCTTCATCTCTTATTCTCTGTTCTTCTCTTGGCCTATTCTCTTCTTTTCTCTTGTTCTTTTCTTCTATCTTTAGATCTTTATATCTTCACGGATTCACATTAATGATTGTCGCCATCTTATTCTGATATTATCTGCTACTCTTGCTGCTGCTGCTGCTCTTCTTTTGTTGTTAATATATAATATTCTCTTGCTGCTGCTGGTATCTTCTTCTCTTGCTGCGGATATAATTTTTGCTGCTACTGCTGGCTTTGCTGCTGCTGCTATTGGGTTTGCTGCTGCAAAGCGTGTATGTATATACGGTTTAATATTGTTTCTACTTGTGTGCATGTATATGTATTGCTGCTGCAGGTTTCTTATTCTATTGGAGTTGCTACTCCTTTATCTTTATTTGTAAATTCTTATGGAACGTGTGCTGAGGGATATACAGATGATTGCCTTCTTAAAATTGTTGCAGAGAATTTCGACTTCAGGCCCGGCGTTATTCAAAGAGATCTTCGTCTTAAAGTGAGTTAAATAAATTCATTATCTTTTAGTTTACTTCTTATTTAATTATTCTTATTTATGGGCTAGTTAAATATATAATAATATGTTCATTCTATTGTATATGTCTTAAAGTGAGTTAAATAAACTGATTATCTTTTAGTTAACTTCCTACTTAAGTTTATGTTTTATTCTATTATGTTTTATCTATTTAATTATATTTTTTATTTAAATGTATATTTTATTTAAATTGTATATAAGCATAATAATATCTTCGCTTCTTACTAAGTACATACATCTTTTTATCGGTTTTTTCATAGGAACCAATCTATAGACATAAATAAGATAAATAGATAAACAAATAGATTAAATTAAACTAAATATTTATATTTATGTATATTTATTTATTTATTTTTCTATAGGAACCAATCTTTAAGGAATTGGCGGCGTACGGCCACTTCGGTCGATCCCCCGAAAAATTCGCCTGGGAAAAACCGCGAGATTTATCGCATTGCAAAAAAATAAACAATTAATTAATTGATAAAATTAATCTTTTGAATGCATGCATTGATCATTTGCATGCACAAATATATATATGTATATATATATATATATAATATATTATGTGCATGCAAATGAATGTAATATGCATGCATGCGTTTGTATGCATTTGTATGCATTTGCATGAATTCATTTGCAAGCAGTATGCTGCATTTGCATGCATGCATGCATATTTGTATGCATGCATACATATTTGTATGCATGCATGCATATTTCTATGCATGCATATTTGTATGCATTTGCATTGGTTAGGATGAGGGGGTTATAGTTATTGTGCTGAATAAATATCGGTTTGGGTGTATTTCTTCTTATTGAAGGAGATAATAATACTAATAAGAAGAAGAAAGGATAATAGAAAGAAAAATTATACATTCAATGGACGAAAAAATATAAATGCATGCATGCATTTGTATGCATGCATTTGCATGTAGTTCTTCAATAGGGGGGATATAAAATTATTTTATAGTAGGGGCTTTTGCTGCTTATTAGATATTTAGTTTGTGTGTATTTGTGTATGTAGTTGTTTTTGTATGTATATCTTTATGCTCTTTTCATTTATTTATTTCTTCTTTATTTCTTCTTTATTTCTTCTTACTTCTCTTGTTGTTTATTATATTATTAATGTGGGGATACACAAATACAGTAAATTTGCAGAGGTCTCTGTTGTGTATATATATAATATATATTATATATATATTATATATATTCATATGATATATATATTATATATATTAATATATAATAATATAATATTTATACGTATATGTATATTGTATATATACACTTATATTTATGTTATATATATTATATATATAATGTTAATAAATATATGTATATATGTATATATATACATATATTTATTTTTATATTATATATATAATGTTTATATATATTATATATATGTATATATGTATAATATATATTACTAGGGGATGCCTTTAAAGCAGCTTTATATCATTTCTTCTGTTTAATCTCTGGATCCTTTCGTATCGACTGTAGCGGCTGCTGTTGTTAATAATAGAACACTTCACTCTCCCTTGCAGCAGCAGCAGCAGCTGCTGCTGCATGTGCTGCTGCTGCTGCTGCTGTTGGTGCTGACCTATGTAACCAGATGTGCAGCAGCAGCAGAAAGAGCTGCAGCAGCAGCAGCAGCAGCAGCAGCGACTGCAGCAGCTCGGGAGACAACAGAACTTCTTTTATATTTATTTTATTTTCCTGTATATATTATTTGTATATATATACACATATAGGTGTATATATATATACATATATATACATACATATATATATATATATATATATATATATATATTTAGAAGAAAACAATCAAAGAGCGCACCGCTGGTAACAGCGAAACACTCAACAGCCAGTGCAGCTATTACTTTATTACTTTACTTTCAGTACTTATATAGATAGATATATAGGGATATTTCTGTATATTCATTGCCTCCACTATATATATATTATATATATGTATATACATCTAGATATGCATATACCTATATGTATAATATATATATATATATATATATGATAGGAGATGCTTTAGATTAATACGGAGAATTAATTTGCTTGGGGCGGCATCATAGCAAATAATAACTACGTTATTATAAACTCTTCGACGTGGTTTTTATATAAATAATTAAAGAAAAGAACTTGTTATATCTCTTCTTAAAGCTTCTTTAAGAAGCACCATTAAAACAATATCACTAGGGTATGCATGCATGCATGCATGCATGCATGCAGATGATGGCGTTGCATGCATGCAAATCAAACAAACTCAAAGAATAAAATAAACAACGAGTCGCTCTATCATGCAGAGCAGCACTTTTGCTGAGGGTTATTAAAGGCATTAGAAGAGATGCTTCAAGCAATAATAAATAATAAATATAATAAATATATTGAAACAAAGTAATGAAAGAAAAAGAAAGAGGAGAAGCAAAACAAAAAGAAAAAAAACAGAAGAAAAGAAAAATAAACAAAAAGAGAAGCACAAAAGAAATAAAAATAATAAAAATTAAAAAAATAATAAAAAAAATAATAATAAAAATAAAAAATAATAAAACGAAAGACGAAATATAAAATGAACAAAAATAAAAAAAGAGAAGAGGATTAAGAAGTATTAACTAAGCCAGTAAAAGGAGTTTGTAAAGATATAAAAAAAAAGATAAAGTATAAACAAAATAATAAAATGCGTTGCTATTTATAAAATAAATAAATATATTAATATTTATTTATTTTAATTTAAATAAAATTTCTCTGTCTCGCTTCGCAGAAGGAAGCCAGGGATGTTCCTGTGAAGGACCTCCTCTTCTTTCTAATAGAGGTGGTGCAGCAACAGGAATAGCAGCAGCAGCAGCAGCAGCAGCAGAAGCAGCAGCAGAAGCAGCTGAGGGAGAAGAAGAAGGAGAGGAAGCAGCAGCAGCAGCAGCAGCAGAATGTGCTGAATGTTTTTTGTGTTTGCTGTTATTCATGCTCCAGCAGGAAATGTGTTTATTTTGTTTAATAAAATTGCTGCTGCTGTTATTAGCATATATTTGTTTTTCTTTTTCTTCTGTCTCCTTCTTTGCTGAGGTGTATATATACTGCTGCTGGTTGTTTGTTGTTTTATTGTCTTGTGTTTGTATGTCTTCTTCTTTTTCTTTTCTTTCTTTTTCACATACTTCTTCTTTTTTCTCTTCCCAAAGCATTAAGTCGATTAGATACGGCCCAGCTTCTTCTTCTCTCTTAAACCTTCTCTCGCCTAAAGCAGCAGCAACTTCTAAATGAAAGCTGCTGCTCTCAGGGCAGCTACGATGCACACGAGCTCCCTCCTGCAACAGCAGCAGCAGCAGCAGCAGCAACAGCAGTGGTAACAGCAGCAACAGCAGCAGCAGTGGCAGTAGCAGCGGCAACAGCAGTAGCAGTAGCAGCAGCAGCAGCAGCAGCAACAGATTGAGTTTATTAAACAAAAGGACAAGAGATGACACCAACGGCACAAACAAACAAACTACAAAAAAATTAAATTGGTCGCCTCAGTGAAATTCTTTCTAAAAATAAATCATCAGACGCCCTCATTTGCATGCATGCATGCAGATATATAGATATATAGATATATATATATATATATATAACGTATACATTATGTATATTTATACTGTTATATATTATTATTATTAGTATTTTATATATATTATATATATATATATTATATATATATATTATATACATGCATTTTTATATATGCATGAATGCACAGCATTAAATATTTATCAATGACAGTCCGCGGATAAACACAGACAAATTAATCAAAACAAATTCAAACAAACGCATGCAAATCAATGCATGCAAATGCACTAAATGCATGCAAATGCATGCATCCTTATGACCGCATACAAACCCAAGCAAACAAATGCATGAAAAAATACATACAAACCGATGCATATATACAAACGCATGCATCAATAAAAACGCATGCAAACAAGCTGATGCATGCAAATGCATGCAAATGCATGCAAATGAATGTGAGTGTATTCATACAGCATTTTCTAACTTAATTATTTCTTCGCAGAGTTGCAGCGGCAGGCCGGGGCTGAGCAGAAGCCCTGTAGAATCCGCAGCTACCATTAATCGGTGCTTCCTGCAGCAGCAGCAGCAGCAGCAGCAGCAGAAGGAGCAGCATCAGCAGCAGCAGTGTCAGTGGGAGCAACAGCAGCAGACAGACGGAGCAGAAGCAGCAGCTGAAACTGCAGCAGAGGAAGAAGTAGCAGCACTAGCATCGACAGCACCAGCTAAGCGGTCAGCAGTTGCAACAGCAACAGCAGCAGCAGCAGCAGCAGCAGCAGCAGCAGCAGCAACAGCAGCAGCACGGACTTGACGATATGCCACTTGATGGGTTTGGAGAGTCGACTTCGTTTTGCTGCTAAAGCCTGAGCCCACGCATGCAGCAGCTGCTGCTGCAGCAGGGGCCCCTCCAGCAGCATCAGTGCAGCTGGCAGCAGCGATGCATGCAGCAGCTGCTGCTGCTGCAGCGCGCAGCAGACGCGATCCCACAGAGCAGCAAAAGGCAAACCCTTCATATCTAAATCCGCTGAAAGAAGACAGACAAAACAACAAAAAGATATTTCTTCAAGAGCTGCATGTACACCCCAACTCATCAAACAGCCGAATGAACAAAACAAATAAATATTTTTAAGCCTTCTTCTTCTTTAAAATTACTGATTACAAATAAAAATATAGACAAAGACGCAGACAGCAGATAGATAAATAAAAATCAGCAGATAAAGCAATAAGCAGATAGCAGATAAAGTCATCAAGACAGCAGACAAAGAGATATAAACAAAGACGAAGACAGCAGATAAGTAGACATAAACAAAGACAAAGACAAGCTCGTTGGGGTGTACCTGCAGCTTCAATTGCTTGTGCAGCAAATGATGATTTTAGAGTTGGAGCGGCGGCCTCCAAACGATAAAATGCAGACAGAAGAAATTCGCAGTCTCGCGCCCGCACCTGCGCAAACACAAACATGCTGCTGCTGCTAGTGCTGCTGCTGCTGCTGCTGCTAGTGCTGCTGCTGCTGCTGCTAGTGCTGCTACTGCTGCTGCTGCTGCTGCTGCTGCTGGTGGAGCTGCTGCTGCTGCTGCTGCTGGTGGAGCTGCTGCTGCTGCTGCAGCAATTACCTTTGCGCATGCACTGAGGACAGCACAGAGAACGTCGATGCGGAGCGACGAAGCAGCAGGCCGCAGCAAATGCAGCAGACTGCAATAAAATGAAGAATCCTGCAGCAGCAAACAGCAGCACTTTATGTTCTTGTTATGAAGCCTCCTTTTCTGCTTCTCTCCTCTGCTTATTCTTAACCGCAAACAATACAAAAACACTTCCTGCATTAATGCATGCATCCATGCATGCATAATGCAGCAGCAGCAGCAACAACAGCAAGATCAACAGCAGTAGTAACAGCAACAGCAGCAACAGCAGCAGTAGCAACAGCAGTAACAACAGCAGCATCAGCAGTAACAGCAGCAGCAGCAGCAGCAACAGCAGCAACACGCTACCTCTAAGCCTGCGTCTGCGAGTCCACAGAGGATACGGGCGGCTAACAGCGGAGACATCGAAAGCGCAAGCGAACGCCGGGCCGACATAAACAGCAAATACTCCTGCCATGCTGCAGCAGCAAAGCAGCAACAGCAGCAGCAACAAAAGAAACTGCAGCAGCAGCAGCAGCAAAAAAGCGATAACAGCAGTAGAAACAAAACACAAAGGCATCAACACCCAGTAGCAGCATACAGACAGCAGGACCAAGAGACAGCTGCAGCAACATACCGCAGCAGCAGCAACAGACAGCAGCAGCAACAGGCAGCAGCAGCAGAAAGATAGCAGCACCGGCAAGGCCGTCTATACAGGAGGAGCAGGACAACCAACAACGAAGCTAAAAAAGATAAACAAAACGACTAACAACGCATCTCTAAAAACAAACTCAAAACAAACAAACAAACAAACAAACAAACGTCTCTGTCTGTGTTGCAGCCTTTTGTATTTCTTGTTGAAAGTTTTTCTTCTTTAAGTGCATGCAAATCCAGGAGTTCAAAGATATTTATTTTATTGTTTTAATTATTTAATTAATTCTTCTGCTCCTCTCACCCGCTAGAGGCTGCCCAAAGGCAGAAGCGGCGAATATTATGTTGGAGGTTTCTATAGCGTCTAACTCTTCAATGCGCTCACCTTTGCAGCAAAACAAACAAACAAACAAACAAACAAACAAACAAACAAATGCAGCAAACAAATGCAGCAAACAAATGCAGCAAACAAATGCAGCAGATTTATTTCAATAAAACAAACGACAAACAACAAACAAATAAACAAACGAAAACAACAAAGCCCCAATAGAGTCGAATGCATGTAGATACAAAAAGAAGAGAAACAAATTAAAATACAAACAAACAAATATATACAACAAATATACAGCATACAGATATCGGCTCCAGTTATTACACAAACTTTTGCGGTGTACATACACCTAAAAACACCTCCCCTTGACCCCAGCCTCCTGCAGTGCGGTGTATATCATTGATATTCATTCATTTCAATTACTTTATTCAAATGCCTCACCAACGCAGTCAGCCACAGCCGCAAGAATATCAGCGCTGTTTTCTCTTAATGCAGCAGAGCCACAGTGCTGCAGCCAACCCAACAGCGGCAGCACAAATGCAGCAACTCGAAGAGGAAACTCCACACCAGAAGAAACCGTCAAGCTGCTGCTGCTGCTGCTGCTGCTGCTGCTGCCGCTCGTGGTGGTGATGGTGCTGGTGCAGGGGGTGGTGCTGCTGCTGCTATCGCTGCTGCTGATGATGCTGTCGGTGGTGCTGGCGTTGCTGCTGCTGCCGTCTGGTTGATCTTCTGCTAACAGATCGTTGAGGTTGCGTTGCTGCTGAAGCAGAGGTGGGCGTGCGGCTATCAGCAGCTGCAGCAGCAGCGGCTCCATTTGCAAAGAAGACAGCAGACCTCGCGGTCGCTGGGTGCTAAGGTGTATCAAAGCCCCAAGCGCATGCAGCAGCGAGGAGGGAGGTAGCTGCTGCGCTCTCTCAGCAAGGCAGTCTACACTGTGCTGCAGCAGCTGCAGCAGCAACTCCGACAGTACATTTCCTGACAAGGCGGCGCCTGAAGAGGAAGACGCAGCACTTCCCCCCGCTGCCCCAGCAGCAGCAGTAGTACGAGCAGCAACAACGGTAGGAGCAGCAGAAGAAGCAGCAGAAACATCTGCTGCAACAACAGAGTGCAGCAATGCCACTGCTGCAGAAGCTTCATCTTCACCAAAGCCATCTCGTAGTTGCTGCTGCTGCTGCTGCTGCAGCCTCCTGATAATGGGTAACAGCTGCAGCAACTCTCCCTTCAGCAGCTGCAGCCGGAACTGCGGCGATCTGTCTGCTGCCTTTGCGCAACTCAGCAGCAAAAGAGAAATTGAAGATGGCGAAGTTTTCGCACTGACATCAGACGGTGGAGCTTCGGGGTGTACATACACTGCAGAGACATCTGGAGGGACTAAGAGAGGCAAAATAATCGGTTTCAAGCCAGCACCCTGCTCGTGCTGCAGTTGCTGCTGCTGGTGCTGCTGCTGCTGCTGCTCTTGCTTCTGCTGCTGCCACTGTTTAGTCTTAGTCCGAAGGCGTATGCGTTGTTTGTCTAATTCTAGAAATGCAACTCGACGAGAAGGGAGGCCCCAAGCAGCAGCAAAAAGGGGCTCGAGGGTATGCGCAGGTATTTGCTGCTGCTGGCCGTCATCATACGAACTCAAGTCATCTCCCCATAAATCTGAAGCAGCATCTGCTGCTGCTGTTGCTGTTGCTGCATTTGCAGCAACAACAGCATCAAGTATAGCAGTAAGGGAGGCATCTACAGATATGGCTGAACCCGCTCCCTTCTCCACGAGCTGCTCGACGGCTCTTTGCGTCAAATCCTTCGCTGTGAGGTGCGCACATGCAGAAGAAGATTCAAATATCAGCCGGCTCTGTGTACGGTTGGCCCACTTCAGATTTAGGTGTTCCTGCCTCCTCGGGAGCGAAGGAGGAAGCCAATATGCAACGCTCTCACTGCTGCTGCAGATGCTGCTGCTGCTGTTCCATTTCCCGTGGAGGAGCTGTGGGTAGTCACTGAAGCCGAGGCGGCCCTTCAGTGCCCATGGCTTCGCTGTCTTGTTCACACCTCCGCGAGGCCGGATGTAAGGAGGCTGACGTTGCTCGGGGGAAGTGGAAAGGAAGAAAGAAATAACTGGAGATGAGGAAACTGCATCAAATCGGGGAGCTATGAAGGGCGAACGACAGAAAATGCATGCAGCCCTCGAGAAATCAGTTGAGGACGTGCGGACGTGCATTCTGAATATGAGTGGTGGAGCATCATGCTGAATAAACACGGAATTAAAAATTCAGAGCAATGAACTCTTCAAAGGAGAAAGAGAGGGGAACACGCATAAAATGTCTGAGAAATAAGCGAAGAATCGCATTTCAAGGCCACTTGAAGCGGTGGTTACCAGAAGAATAAATTTGAATTACCGTCATTAAGTTCAAGTTCAGAACCTGCAAGGAAGCTGCCTATACACCTGAATTCTTCAGGTGTATCGGGAGGTGTCCAATGAAGGAAAGCTGAACATCTACTGCATGACATATGGCGTTATATCGAGAAAATGAACGCAAAAATTACTAAATTAATTATATTTATTTGCATATTTATGTAATAATTTAAATTTAATTCAAACTCACCCAGGCATAACTACTGAAAAATCTTCAGCATCGATATTTCCAACGTCGGTCTGGGGGGCCCCCCAAGGGCCCCGCGATCTTCGATTGAATGCTGCAGCCTCTCTATATATAATCAAGCACATATGTATATTTATATATTTATATATTTGTGTATTCGAAAATATGCATAAATGTGTGCACTTTCTCGCTCATTATGTATGTTGGTGTAAAGTATGTAAGTCCATAGATAACTTGATGGGGGGAGAGCTGCGAAAATAGGAAACACTTCCTTGTCAGTTAACTCATATGGACGGACGTTGAGTGATATGAAGACTGCCAAAAGGGAATTTTCCTGCAGTTCTACGGACAACAATAATAATGATAATAATGATGATAATAATAATAATAGTAACAATAGTAATAATAATAATAATAATAATAAAGATAATTGTAATAATAATAATAATAATAATAATAATAATAATAATAATAATAATAAAGATAATCGTAATAATAATAAGAGTAATAAACCAATAATAATAATAACAATAATAATAATACTGAGGTTAATTTCTACTTCCTCTCGAGCAGTTTCTGAAGGTTTGTGCTTGTTAATGAAATTATCAATAGTCCTCTTCTAACTACCATTACACTCTCTTTCTAGCTGCGGGACTTCTGCTCCCTTTCCTTCTCCCCAAGCCATCATTGTTGATATTAACGATGCATACAAACACCCCAAGTGAGGGTACAGCGGAACAGGGATTTATGCCTACGTGGCTGCATGCGTGCATGCGTGCATGCATGCATGCATATGCGTAAACAGCTCTCCGCTGCTGTTGACTCGAGCATCTCCTCTGAAGTTTCTCCCTGCCAAGAGCAGCCCGAATTGAATCCAGTGTACGGGTGTAGTTAGCTATCTAGACAGAGCAGCAGCTAGCTAGTTTTGCATGCGTGTAGCTAGCTCGTCGCTTAGCTAGCCATCTGTGCATGCGTACACTCGAAATATGGAGTAGTTAAATGAAGTACCTTCAGGAGGAATGACATCCTTAAAGAACAAATTAAAAAAAAAATAATAGTAATAATAATAGTACTAATAATAATAATAAAATACTTCTACCCTAACACAGACACACAGAGCATGTCGGCGAGCAAACATTAAAGTAATAAAAGACAGCAAAACTACGTGGGGCTTCAAAGGCAAAGAGAAGAAGCGAACGAAAATATATTTTTAATAGAAAATGCAGCAAACGCATGCATTTAAAAATGCATGCAAGCCCAGTTCAGTGAGGTGTAACGAACGGCTGTAGGTAGAATTTCACGCAAAGCCAATTGAAACAAAATGAGTTTCCGCTGTCTTTGATAAAAAACCCTAAATAATCATAAGACACAGACCTGCACATGGATGCATGTATGCATGCATGCATGCATGCATGCATGCATGCATGCATGGATAGATCTTTACTGCGGTGAAGATAATCTGCTGTTGCTGCAGCTTTTGCTGCTATTGCTGCTTCTGCTCCTGCTTCTGCTGCTGCTGCTGCTGCTGCTGCTGCTGCTGCTGCTGCTGTTTGTGTTTATGCGCGTCCTCTGTAGAGATGGTTTGCACAGAACTCATCAAAGACTTCAAGCAGCGCTGTCCGCGATCCCTCTCTAAGCTGCGAAGACACCTCAGCAATTATTCGCCCGCCTTCTTCTGCTGCTGCTGCGCCCATCATTAATTCAAAACCAAGAGACAGCAAACGCGAGCTAAGCACCTGCTGACGTTCCCTCTCCGCTGAACAAACAACAGCAACAGCAGCAGCAGCAACAGCAGCAGTAGCAGCAACTGCAGCACCAATAGGGTATGCGTATAAGCAACAAAGATATGAAAGCTTGCACGCAGCTGCACGGAACTCTGTGAAACCGAATGAACTCCAGCAAAAGCAGCAGCAGCAGCAGCAGTAGCAGCAGCACAAACAGCAGCAGCTGCAGCAGCCGCGACTAAAAGGCACTGAGCTATCATATGGCGCGGGGCTGCTTAGGATTTGATACGCATGCATGTTCTTCTACTCCAACTACCACAGCAGCAGCAGCAGCAGCAGCAGCAGCAGCAGCAGCAAGAAGGTGCCTATTAAGGCATTTACCCGGCACCATGCGGACGTTGCCTGCTGCTTTTGCTGCTGCTGCTGCTGCTGCTGTGGTGGCTGATCCCTGCAGCAGCCGCTGCCGCAAGTCAAGTGCTTCAGCAGCTAAGAACAGCAGCATGCGTTTGCTGCTGCTGCTGCGGTTAGCGAGAGAAGCAGTAACGCGCCCCCAGGTCTCCAGTGCATCATCAAAGACCCTACAAACAGCAGCAGCAGCAGCAGCAGCAGCAGCAGCAGCATTAGAAGGCGGACACAGAAACAGGAGCAGCAGCAGAAGTCGCAGACAGCAGCGGGGAGGGTCTAAGTGCTGCTACAAACAAAAACAGATTACCTTCGGTCATGGAGACGCGGCAGCAACTGCAGCAAACGCAGCAGCAGCAGCAAAACCGTCTGCTGCTGCCGCTGCAGAGGGGTGAATTCATGCGACCGCCACAGAGACACCAACATGATGCTGCAGCTTCTTAAGGCTGCTCGGCCAGCTATATTCGCGAGTTGCTGCTGCTCCTGCTGCTCCTGTTGCTGCTGCTGCTGCTGCTGTTGCTGCTGCGGCTGCTGCTGCTGCATGCATCGCAGTGTCTCTGCAGCATCGTCAGCTTCGGCGAATTCGAGGGCCCCTCTGGCGAAGTCCATCATGGCGTCTGCCACTCCTTCCAGTTGCTGCTGCTGCTGCTGCTGCTGCTGCTGCCCTGCGGGGTCCTGACTCGCCCTAAGTTGTTTTGCTGCAGGCCGTCTGCCAGCAGCTAAAAGGCAGCAGCAGCGAAATGTCTCTGCTAAAAATTGAGCGCTGCGGGAGCAGCACCAACCCAACAAACAAGACACCCGCTGCTGCTGTTGCTGCTGCTGCTGCTGCTGTAGCAAGGGTAGTGAGGCGTATAAGCCGGTGCTTGTCGCTGCTGTGTTGGCTGCTTGGAGCAGCTGTAGCAGCTGCAGCACCAGATGTGCAGCAGCAAGCAGCGTCTGCTGCAGCTGGTTGCTGCTTTTGTTTTGCTGTCGAAGGCATCTCGCTAATTCGGTTCGCTGCAGCACGAGGGCCCACAGTGCCTGAGCGCAAGCAGCAGCTTCCAGCGCCGCCTCCTCTAGCTGCTGCTGCTGCTGCTGCTGCTGCTGCTGCAGGGTCTCTAGCGCAGCTTGCATTGCCTCTGTCAGCTGCGCAGCGACTTGGGTGAACAAATGACGGGGCAAGCCCACGACCAGGGAGGCCCAGCAGCTGCAGCAGCACACATCGCAGCAGCAGCAGCCGCAGTAGCAGCAGGAGCAGCAGGAGGTAATAGCAACAGCGGCAGAAGGAGCAGAAGCAGAGGTAGCAGGGACCGCAGCAGCAGGAGCAACAGGCGACAGCCTTATGAAAGCATTCTCGATAGATCTGGCGAAGGGCCAGCAACAGCAGCAGCAACAGCAGCAGCAGCAGCAGCAGCAGCAGCAGGATCTCTGAAGGCCCCGTCAGCAGTAGGATTAGTCGATGGGGTGTACATACACCTCAGCTGCTGCAGTTATCTTACTTGTCGCTGGGCAAGTAGAAGCAGCAGAAGTCTTCTAGGCTTGTCTGCTGCTCCTGCTGCAGCAGCGCAGCCAGCAGCTGCTGCAGCGCCACAAAGGAAGGGCTAGGAGACGCAAGAGAGTGCAGCTGCTGCTGCGCTTCTGCTCGAGGTGCTGCAGCAACAGCAGCACCAGTTGGTGCTCCAGCAGCAGGAGACGCAGAAGCAACCGCAGCAGCAACGTGCTGCTTCAAATCGTACTTAGTTGTATGCAGCAGCAAAACTGTTAGCCTGGACATCAAAACCCTGCAATGCCCCCCGTCACTGCGCTGCTGCTGCTGCTGCTGCTGCTGCTGCTGCTCCTCTGCGTGCTCCTCGTGCTGCTGCTGTCCTTGTTCTTCTTGCTGCTGCTGCAGCTGCTGCTGCCTTTCCAAGGCAGCAAAGTGCTTCATGGCTCCACTCCAGTGTATGCACAGCAGCAGCAACAGCCGCATGCAGCTACGCTGAAGGCGGAGGCAGCCCTCAGCAGCAGCAGCAGCAGCAGCAGAATTAGCAGCAGCAGAATCTGCAAGAGGCCCGTCTATAAGCAGAAGCCGCTGCAGCCTATCAAGAAGCTGCAGCAGCTTCTTAGGTCGAGGTGAAGAGACAGACGGCTGCTGCTGCAGCAGCAACAGAGATTGATGTGTACGTACACTGCAGCGGCACACCACCAATGCAGATATCTTAGACTGCTCCTGCTGCGGCAGCTGCAACTGCTGCTGCTGCTGCTGCTGCTGCTTTAGCTGCTGCTTCGGCTGCTCTGCCCCATGCTCAGCCTCGTCAGGATCGTCTGTCCCTGCTGCAGCAGCAGCAGGTGCTGCTGCTGCTGCTGCAGCTCTGCGCTGCAGAAGCCATACCCCCAGCAGCTGCTGCTGCTGCAGCAACTCTAATAAAACTGCTGCCATGTGCATCCAAGGGCCGCTCAAAGCCGGCTCAGCCCTACTTGCTGTTGCTGCTGCTGCTGCTGGTGTTGCTGCTGCTGGTGTTGCTGCTGCTGGTGCTGCTGCTGCTGGTGCAGCAGCAGCGGTTGCGAAGCTGAGGACAGAGGCAGCAGCAAGGCGTTCGTCTAAAGCAGTAGCAACAGCAGCAACAACAACTGCGAGTTGCGAGCGAGCAGCATCAGGCGGCAGCACAGCCAACACCTCCTGCAGCACTCCTTGTTGCTGCTGTTGCTGCTGCTGTTGCTGCTGCTGCTCCTCTGTCTTCGGGGCCTTTACTCGCAGCAAAAATGGCTGCGCCCAGGCTGCAGCAAGCGCATGCAGTGACGCATACACCGTAAGGGGCAGAAGCAGCAGCATCTGCTGCTGCTGCTGCTGCAGCTCGGTGCTGCCTTCTTTACTACTAATTGCATCAACAATACGCGCAGCAAAGTCTGCTGCTGCGCTGCTGCACCAACAAACCAACGCTGCTGCGTCGTTCTTTCGTAGGGCTCTTCTCAACTGCTTCTGCTGCTGCTGCTGCTGCTGCTCGTCAACGTCTGCAGCGGGCAGCGGCAGCAGCAAAGCAGCAGCAGCAGCAACTGCAGCAACCGCTCCCTTCCCCTCTGCTGCTGCATCTGCACCAGCAGCAGCCCACAAGACATTTGCTGCTGCCTCTGCTGCTTCCACCACTGCCGTAAGGCTGCTGCTGCTACTGTTGTTGCTGCTGCTGCTGCTGGCTGCTGCTGCTGCAGCATGCGCGAGGGAAGACAAGATCTGCTGCAGCCCGCAGCCATTTAGCAGGGCTGCATCCGCCCAGAGGTTTGCTGCTGCTGCTGCTGCTGCTGCTGCTCCGCAGCAGCAAACTTGTCGCAGCGCGCTGCTGACAGCAGCAGCTGCACTGATGAGTAGGTCTCGGTGCTCTGTGTGCAGAAGCAGCAGATGCTGCTGTTGCTGCTGCTGCTGCTGTTGCTGTTGCTGCAGGTGCTGCTGCAGCAAGCTCGTTGTAGCCTGCAGCGCCCCCCACAGTGCAGCAGCAAACTGCTGCAGCGCCTCATCTCCAGCGCATGCACAGACTTCAGAAGGAAGTGCATCAGCTATCCCCAAACATATCTCTCGCAAAGCAGCAACAGCTGCTACTCGCCTGCTGCATGCACCTGCTGCTGCTGCTGCTGCTGCTGCAGCTGCTGCTGTGGGTGTCACCGTCTCTTTGCAGATTCGCTGCCTTTTCTGCTGGACTGGAAAGGCATCTGCTTCTGCTGCTGCTGCTGCTGCTGCACTCTTATCCTTATCTTCATCGTCAGCAGCAGCAGCAGCTGCTGCTGCTGACTCCACTAAGACAGCAGCACGAAGCAGCAGCAAAGCAGCAGCACTCCGCTCCTCCAGCAGCTCCGGCGGCAGTGACCACTGCAGCACAACCCGCTGCGCAGCCGATGTCGCAGCAGCAGCAGCAGCAGCTGCTGCTGCTGCTGCAGAACCACCCGCCCGAGGGACAGCAGCAGCTGCTGCTGCTGCAGCTGCTGCTGCTGGCAGAGGGTCCTGCATGCAGCGCTTAGCAGCCCCAGCGAGAATGCATGCACTCATACTTCTCTGAGAGACGCAGCAATGTGTAGAAGCCCTAGCTTTTGCTGCAGCAGCAGGAACAAGAGAAAAGAGCAGCGGCAGGTGAGGCTGCAGCCAGTGGGTCTCTGCTGTTGCTGTTGCTGCTGCTGCTGCTGCTGCTGCTGGTGCCGTTGAAGGCGGCGATGCTGCTGTGATGCGGTGCTCATGTGTCTCCTTGCTGCAGCAGCAGCAGCTGTGGAGTTGCTGCAGCAACAGACGCGCAACGCGCTTCCTCATATGCTGCAGCCCGACTTCCTGCTGCAGCAGCAGCAGCAGCACTGCTGCTTTGCTAGCAGCAGATGCTGCAGCATCTTGACAGCTCTCTTCTTGTTGCAGCTGCTGACGCGACTGCTGTCTCTTTTTGCATTGCTGCTGTTGCTGCTGCTGCTGCTCAGAGTCTTCAGCAGCAGCTTCCTGCAGCAAGTCAAGCAGCAGCAGCTGCTCCAGGCGCTGCAGCGCTCGCGTCTGCTGCAGCTGCAGGAGCTGCTGCTGCTGGTGAAGCTGAAAAAGAGCCTGCTGCTGCTGCTGTTGCTGCTGCTGCTGCCTTTGCTGCCTTTGCTGCTGCTGCTGCGCTTCCGCCCCCTTGGCGGCTTCAGACTGGGAGAGTTGCAGCAGCAACTGCTGCTGCTGCTGCTGCTGTTGCTGTTTCTGCTGCTGCAGAGCCCGCGTCGTCTGCGTGACACTGAGAACAGCCGCAGCCAACGCTGCAGCATCGGATGCACTCGGCGCTGCAGCAGCAGCAGCAGCATCAGCAGCAGCATCAGCAGCTTCGTCGTCAGCAGCCTGAGGTGTATCTGCAGCAAGAAAAGGAGCAGCAAAGGACCTCACGTGCCGCAGCAGCAAACAAACAGAAAGGCGAAGTCTATCGCAGCTTCTCAATAGAAGCTGCAGCAGCAGAGCCATCTGCTGCTGCTGCTGCTGCTGCTGCTGCTGCTGCTGCTGCTTGATTGCTGCAGCGAATTGCTGCAGCAGCGGCTTCAGCTCAATGATGGGGGCCGTGGCGGCAGCTGCAGCTTCAATAGAGGCAGGCAGCAGCAGCTCCTGCTGCTGCTGCGGCTGCTGCTGCAGCCCCCGCAGGAAGGAGCCCATCATAAGCTGCGCTGCAGCAGCATTAATCACCAACGTAGCGAAGCCGCCGTCAACGTGCTGCTGCTGCTGCTGCTGATGCTGCTGCTGCTGGAAGCCCCGCACGAGCGCAGTCGTGCAGTGCAGCAGCAGCTGCTGCATGCGCTGCAGCAGCAGCGGCAGCTGCGAAGCCAGCGCTGCTCTTGCTGCTGCGGAGACAGTCTCCTCAAAGGAAAACCGCAGCGCGA